ATTACGAGTACAAGAAAGCTCCTGGCTCATCGACGGCAAATAAGCATCCTCTTTTTAAAAAGTTTAGAACATAAGTAGTATAATTTTCCTAATATTTTCTCAACATCACAAATTGATAAATGATAAATAAATGATTTTGTTACTATCTAGTTTAATTTGTATAGTATATATTCCATGTATCGCTTGTAACGATAAAAGAAAAACCCTTATCCATTTTTGTATGGGTTTTGAGCTCCTTATATAATATATATATGGTAATGAAACTTATTGTTAGTTAAAACACTGACGAGATACTTATTAAAAACCGTCAACCCTGGACAAATTTTCGGCGGTATAAACAGGACCCCAAGGGCCCGGAGATAATTGAAAAACGCTGACATTATCGACAATTGATATAAATTTGATATTATTAATATAAAAATATTTAGCTAATACATTATTAAACTCATGATTTTTTATTACATAAATGTTCTATAAATAAATATGCATACTTGTAAATCTATAATATCCTATATATTACTGAGAAAAATTACAATTTTTTCTCTGCAGTTATGATTTCTGTTGATAATCAAATTTTGACGATAACACTGAAGTCACAATTTTAAAGAAAAATTAAAGTATTATTGAGTTTTAAATGCATATACACTGATAAACACGTCTACTAAACTAATAACTCATAAAATTAGTACAATATTATCAGTTTTTACTCTTAATGACTTAATATTAACAAGGACGCGAACTCCCATAAGGATGTCGGTTTTTAATAGAAATATCTCGTCGGTGGTTAAAATGAAAGATTATTGTTAGATGATTAAAGGTTGTATTCCGTTAGCTGTATAGAAAATTATCTTTTTTGGTAATAAAAATATTATTAGAGAACAACTATCCATTAAAATTTATTTTTGACAACACACACACACACACACAATATTAATAAACATTTGAAGTATCTAAACAGTATGAGTGAACACAATTAAATTAATTTAAATAATTTTTATGCCAAAAGTTGTGTTACCAATAAATTTGATGCTGTAAAAACTTTTCATAAAATTTGTGATAAATATTTTATTATAGAATATGAATAAACAGTTCGCGCTTTAAATAATATCGAAAATGCTGCAATACATGACAAATAGACGAATACGTGATTAATAATTTGTGTGTATAAACTGCTTCCACATTTCGGTCTTCAACGTATGGTTGAACCGTTCGACGACTGTCGATTCAAAGAAAAAGAAAAGTTCAGGAACATGAAAAAATCTCCATTTAGCAAATTGAGGTTGAGGTTTCTGGGACCCCAGTGTGTATAGCTAGAGTTAAAAGTGATTCGATAGACGTTCGACAACGGTTCGATTCTGCTTGTCACTTCAAAACCTGCACGTTCCTGTTTTTTCTTATCGGGAATGGAAAATGAGTCTTCCTCCTTTCTCTATTAGTTAAGAATTAATTAATAATATGATAGCTGTTTAGTAGTATGTATATAGTTTAATAAGTGTTCGATAGCTACTCGATAATAGTTTTTTAATAATGATTCGATAATTAGGAACGCTCGGTTATTTCTAGTACATTATTTTAAAAATATTATTATAATTAGTTGCTAAGTTACATCATATAAAAATCATAAATATCTATTTAATAAAATCTCGTGCGAAAGAAGAAAAGAGAACAAAAAGAGAGAGTACAATGGCAGGAAGAGAGCGCGAATACTATGGTAAGTATAGGGCCGCAACGGGTGGGACAGAGAGAACTGCATCATACAACGGGTGGGAGAGAGAGGACAACGGGTTAGAAAGAGACTGCAACGGGCGAGAGAGAGAGAGAGAGAGAGAGAGAGAGAGAGAGAGAGAGAAGGAACAAACCCCCTTCCCTCTCTAACACGGACCTCGGTAACGCGCTTCCCCCTCCCTGACCCTCTCACACCATACACACGCTATATGTATACGCACTAACACATAGGCTACGTTTACACCGTGCGCTTAGTCCGCGACCTATACGATAGGTGTCTTTGTTTAACCTACAGGATAAACAAGGACGTCTATTGTATAGGCCGCGGCCTAAATGCACGGTGTAAACGTAGCCATAGTGAGTTAGAATTGGCCTAGCTTTACTACTCTCCCATCATGCGTGATGGCGTAATGCATCTCACGTGTGTGCCCTCATCACACGTGATGGCAATATGAAGGCGATCTTGCGCGCATAATGATCATATGTGATGGCAGTGTCAGTGTTTTCCCGTTTACTAACTGTTTTGTATGATTATATATACTATTTTTATACGACTTTTTACGCTCGCATATATGCTCCATCATTACGCTTGCACGTGTACGACCATCATATCATGAGGGTGATATGATGGCGTTCTTGCACGCACAACCTAGCTGATACTCACATGTGAGGGCTATATGAGATCGCACTAAATGTTATCCGGGTAGTGCAATCTAGAACTGACGAGTGTAAGCGTGCAGGGACTGCACTGCAGGTAAGAAATAAAAAAACATTCTAGTGCAAGATAAAAATGGCGTTCCATATTGTTTACATGGAAGTATTAGATTCATGTGATGAAAATGAAAGTATTCATGCAATTCCATTAAAAAAATTCTTAATTAAAGATAATGATGACACAAAATGTTTTTGTATGTAGGCTTGTTTTCATTTATATACCCGGGAAAAAAAATTTATATATGTATAATTATATATAATTATATATGACCATATATAGCACAATCATATATGGACTTTGTCTCTATATGATCATATATGTACATAGGTCGTGTGTCTAAAAAGTTTTGAGCCTCAACATGAAGATGTTGCATTACTCGTCAAAACAATTTTGGTACTGTAATCGTACATACTTTGAAAGATACCTGCGAAAATTGTAGCTACTTCCGGCGCTTAGTTGTTGTTAGACAGTCATTTGTGCCAGTCAATGTCAATGTTTTTGTAAAAATGGAAAAAATCGAATATCAGCAGTCGCCATGATAAAAATTCACGAATT